AAGCCGCTGCTTCAAATGTGAACATTTTGTAGAAGAATGAATCTAAAAATCATGTTATGGGACACATAGAAGGTAGCAAAGTGACACGCTAAGCGCTGCTACACGCTGACACTGGCACACTGACACAGTGGTATAATTCTGTGCACATGGTGCAGGTCTCCACTCACACAGCCCCTTTTACTTACAATGATAATGCAATATCTGTCATAACAATGTTATCAAAAATATGGATTTTATCACCAACCCCAAAATTTTCGCTTGATTTCAAAAAGTGGGACGGACGTGCCCACCCCCCAGTTTTATGAGATGAAAATGTTATGTTGTTCATTTCTGTGTGTAGCAGTGCTGAAAAACATTTGTTATGTAGCCTTTTACAGTATACGTCTATTAGATTTAGGATTTTAGATACAGTTATTCATTTTATTATTCATTTGAAAATCATGATTTTAACTTTATCAATGATTTTAGCTTTCTATAACATTTCTCATTTTTACATTTTTCACTGCATGACATTCATATAAGATTTTGATTAAATTACAAATGTCTGCTTTCTTATTGTAGAGAAAGGTGTTTTGGTCCCAGTCATTCTTGGTTTAGCAGCATCACACATCATCTGCATGGCTGTGGTTTTATTTCTGTGTAGAAAATTACATAAAAGTCATCATAAAGGTGGGTTTTGCCTCTGAAACTGATACGATTGTTCAGTTTGTATTGTTAATTAATGTAGTTTTGTGATTTTTAAAAGATGTTTAGTTTCAGGCATTCAGCTATTGCGTAATAGCTTTGATTGATTTACTTTTTTACTTTTGTTTTTGGATGAAGAAGCTGCAGAAGGTCACACAGGCCGAGTAAATCAGGTGATTCATTCAATTTCTTCTAACTTCTTTCTACTAAACATAATCTATGGAAACTCTCATGTCTGGGATTAATATGTGATACATATTAATATTAGTTTAAGTGCTCCATCTGAACTTTAGAAAGACTCTTACCTACAGTTATCACCTCTTTATTCCTCACAAATTTCTGTGAAATGTGATTTTGCTCACTATGTTTAATGTGCTGATTGTGGCATCTTCTAACTCTTCTGCTAAACTCTCATTTTGTTCCTTTAGTTTTGCAGTAAAGGGTCTTAAACACTGTTTTCTTCTTCAGGGTGAATGTGATGAAGCTTTGAACTATGCAGCACTGAGTTTCACTAATAAACCACCGTCCTCCAGAGGAACTAGAAGACAACAGAAGCTGAAAGACACTGAAGTTTACTCTCAGATCAAACATCCCCAATAAAGCTGAGTTACTGAACTGAAAAGAATGTTTTGACCTCTTGTTGCTGATTGCTTATAATAAACATCATCAACTAATGATACTTCAGTGCTTAGTTTGATGCAGTGTTTAGTTTGCTTAGTTTTTTTTTGCCAAAGATAGTCAGAGCAAGATGCTAAAAAGTTTTTGGGTATGAACATTTTGTAACTTGTTTTTCTTTCCAATCTGATTCTAAAGTCTGGAACATTTTATAAAAGCATTTCTGAAGGGTATTGTGACGTGGCAGTGGGCCCAGGAGAGGACTATGGGGCTTTCCTGCTGAGGAGGTGGCCCACACCATTTATTCTGTTGGGACTGTGCAGCACGAGCTGGCAGGTTGCTGGGGATCAGCTGACCTGTGAAGTAGGGGGCTATGTAGCGAACCGCTACTGGCTGGCGCTGGCACAGAGAGAATCTGGAGGTGTGCACTAGGCAGCGTGCGTCGTCCAACAACTTATTGTGTTATTTTATGTTATTGTCTGTTAATTTGTGTGTACATGTTACTTGTGTTGTTTAGTGTTAGAGGGTGTGGGTTTTGTGTGTAAAGGGGGGTCACCATCAGGGTGAAGTGTGTGACTACTGGTAACCTTCCCTGTGGTTTCAGTGTCCAGTATATGCCTTTCTGCCGGTGTGTTCAATAAAGAGCACTTCTTGCAGTAGATCATGGCTACCTTGGCGTTTCTTCTTCTGCTGATGTCACAGTATTTTGAAGTGTTTCTTTCTAAAAAAAGGTATTGGTTTTTCTAAGTAAATTAATGGAGGATGTGCACAGAATAATGACATAAAAGCTGCTTTTTGGGGTTCTTTTGACCCTGTTTACAGCTGGTTGTTTCATGTGTCTTCAGCATCAGGATGGTATTGTAATAGGGATACATACATATTCTTAAAAATGCACCCAAGATACATTTAAAACAGATTTAAATCTGATCACTCAAGCCATTTCAGCACATGGTCTATAAAAAGAGTCATAAACGTGTAAATGCATCTGTATCTCCAAGACACGTCTGACCATGAGGACCCATCCCAACACTGATATGACTCCTCCCCCTGATCTTCTATGGGAAAGGGAGCCCCCCCCTGGACTGCTGCTGTTTAATATAAGCAGAGCTGCTCTTTCAGTTCAGTTTCTGACAGGTGCTTCTCCTGTGACTTCAAGTTAACAGTTTGTTTCACCAGCCCTGCATGCTGAGCTAAAAAGACAAATAATAAAGCATCAGGAAATAAAGCACCAATTTACTTCACCTCATCATTATTATTCTAAGTGGCATGCAAATTTGTGATTTTCAAGATAACAGCAATGTTTTGAACAGAGCATGTATAAACACAGGCAATTGGCTGCTCACGTTATGAGCTGATTTACGTATTTTGCACCATATAGCAATCAGATTTCAGTATGACAAACTGGAGACACAGTCGTCTACCACCTATAAATACTTATCTGAACAGAAGTCACAACAAACAGTGAGATGTAAACAGGGTCTTTAAATCACATTATGATTTTTTCATATGAGCATCTTATCTGACTGTCTCTTGTAGCCAGCAGTGCTCGGCTCCTCTGAGGCAGAGAACCAATGAGCATCTGAACCTGCAATTCAATGATGTGATTTCTCAGAGCAGCTGTGACCACAGCACTTGCACAATCACATCCCTACAGCGCCCCCTATGCAGACTGTCCTCTACAGAGTGCACCCTGTCTACATGGGGAATTCCAAACCTCACTATCACACTGCTTCTATTCCAAGGGTCTTTTAGCACTTCTTAGAAACAGTAATCAACTTAATAAATATTCAATGTGAGAGTATTTGTTCTAATATCAAGCAGTGCAGCATGTCAATGAAAAGGTTTCGGTGAAAATAAAGGTTCATCACAAGTCACATGTTGAACCTCTGCCTGGCTTATTATTCAGCTATTAATCCTAAGATTTGATTAAACCTTAAAATTAACCTTTAAACGAATATGTAAGTTCTATATTTATCATAGTGACAAAGTCAGGAAGAAAAGACCTACCTCTTGTTTTTTTTTTAAGAAGCTGTTTTTAAGTAGGTCTGTTTAAGGACCATCATTTGATGTGGTTGGAAGTTTCAGCAGCCCACCCTCCACTGCAGTATGTGTGGGCCATTGGCACTGTGGTTACTGCTAAACATATACTTAAATGTGAAATACAGTTCACAAGAATAAAGAAAAATACATTTCTTTTTATGATAATATCATAATTGTATTGTTGCCTTAACAGACAAGGTGGATGCCTTGTGATGAGAAAAGCCTTATAAACAACAAAAAGATTTCCTGAACCTGTGAGAAAAGGTTACAAAGAAACACTGAACAGTGATCTCATGTAAAAATGTCATCTGTATTAACGTATATAATTCCTAGTCCACTCTGGATCCCTGGAACCACACCCCCTCTTGAGTCCAGAACAGCTGATTCTGTAGCTTATGAGCAGTTTAACAGCAGCACCTGCAGGTCCAGAGTTTGCAGTGTCATCCCCAAACTGTGAAATTATATGCTTAAATGATTACATAGAAGGTTTTATGACTTTTTTTTCGGAATTATGGAAATTGATTTTATGTTAAACTGTGCAATCCAAATTGAGTATAGGAATGTCCAGGAGTCCTCAGCTTCATTTAACAATAAACCTTTAGTAAAAATCAAATTGCCACCTTATTTTCTTTACTGTGTTTGAAGAGAAACTGTAATGCATATTTAAAATTCATATTAATTTCAGCATTTTTTATGTTAATATTATTATAATCACGTTAAAATTAATTTTAATATAATTCAATATTTTAAAAGTTCATTTGTAATGATTCACATTTTAATGATGTACACTTCTGGATGGGGCCAGTGGGTGGGGCCTGATTCTACCTCCTGTTATGGGAGCCAATCAGCTTTAAGCACAGAGATATAAAGCCGCTCTTGTAGACGTTTGCATGTCTAGAAAGGTTACTTTCGTCCTTCAAAAACAGTAAGTGAGCTCTTAGAATTCACTAAATTTCAGCAATATAGGACTGCACATATTAATATTATTATTAACAGAACTGTTTGTAACAGTGTAATATAACAGAATATATATATATATATATATATATATATATATATATATATATATATATTTATTTATTTATATATATATATATATATATATATATGTATATATATGTGTGTGTGTGTGTGTGTGTGTGTGTGTGTGTGTTTTCTTTCTCTTTTTAGGAGATACATTTCTTGAAGAGTTTGGCAATGATTCAGTTTTATGCACTTGTTTTTGCCTCAGCAGCATTAGGTACTGTTTAAGCTTTTCTTAATTTTTAATATGAATGATGTTCAGTTTGGTTATTTTACTTTAGAAGCACCTAAAATTGTACATTCTTCATAAATGTTCAAACAGCAAATAATTTCTATTAGGTGCCACGTCAAAGATTGATATTCCATGTCTAAATGGACTGATGTACATTCATGGCGGGGAAAATATTCATCTGAATTGCTTTTTTTCATCTGTTGATCCGTCAAAAGCTGCATGGTTCAAACAGACTCCAGGAGAAAAGCCTCTTCTCGTTGCTTCTGCTTTTCACACTGTAGACATTAAACATCATAATGATTTTGACAAGAGCGGCCGATTTAATGCTTTTAGAGGAAAAAGCAGCTTTAATTTGAGTATCTCAAATGCAGAACCATCTGATTCAGCAATGTACTACTGTTCAGTGATGGATTATACGGATAATGCCTTATTATCAGACTGCGCAGTTTTAGTCCTCAAAGGTAGGTGTTAGTCTACTACAGTCTGCTTTTATTAAATGCTACTAAGTTTGGAACCTAAATCTTTCTGCATTCCTAATCTGATCTCCATCTACATCTCATTCAATAATCAGTAACATTTCCTCTCTTTAGGTTCATCTTCAAGTCTCTCTGCTGTTCTCCAGCCTCCTGTATCAGATCCTGTTGAACTGGGAGGAGATACAACTTTGCAGTGTTCAATACTCACAGATACGTCTGCAGGAGAACACAGTGTGTACTGGTTCAGACATGGATCAGGAGAATCTCATCCAGGAATCATTTACACTCATGGAAACAGGAGTGATGAGTGTAAGAAAAGCTCTGAGACTGATTCTCCTACACAGAGCTGTGTCTACAAACTCCCCAAGAGAAACCTCAGCCTCTCTGATGCTGGAACTTACTACTGTGCTGTGCTCATGTGTGGAGCGATCATCTTTGGGAACGGAACTAAACTGGACTTTGTAGGTAAGAGCAGATATTTACAATCCTTTTTAACTGCCTCAGGCCAAATCCAGATACAATCTAATCATCTTTGAATATCTGCCACCAAATAAAAGTAAACTGTATGCGGATATACAATGCGAATAACCTATGATATAGTACTCTTTTCTGTTGTGCAGTACTGTTGATATACATAATAGTATGCAGTCAAGAAGCCATGTATAAATGTGAAATTTATAAATGCAAAACTGCACAAGATGTTTTACAGCACACCTTGTATTAGTTCATTCTGCATCACATTTGTCAGAAATTCAGATTCAGTGATAAAGCTCTGATTTCTTTATTATTATAGAGAAAGGTGTTTTGGACCCGACCATTCTTGGTTTAGCAGCATCAAACATCATATTCATGGCTGTGGTTTTATTTCTGTGCAGAAAATTACACAACAGTCATCATAAAGGTAGGATTTACACATACAAAATTTCAGTTCATATTTCTGTCAAATAACAATGTATTTTTTCTATATGGTTGAAATATGATATATATTTAAATGGTTTACTTATTATTTTTTGAAGATGCTGCTGCAGATTACAGAGTTCAGATAAATCAGGTGATGATTTCACTTTCTTCTATGTTTTCTTGTGGGTCCTAATTTTAATTTGTAATCGAAAATAAGCATCGACATCTTGTGAATGTTCTTTCAGACTTATACATTTATTCTGTTTGTGTTCCAAATATACTTGATTAATATTAATGAGCACACACTGTTAGAAGTAAAGGTTGTGTGCAGGTACATGTTTTGTCATCAAGGTACAAACAATGCAAATGTTCCCTCAAAGGTATAACAGTGGTATTAAGGTCAAATTGTTTTCCCAGGTAAAAGGTACGCATTTGTACCTTTTCATAAACTAATGTTTTAAAACAGAACAATAAAATAAAGGCCTGGAGACGAGACGGGGTGTATGGAGTCAATACAACTTAGAAAATATAATTTCAATGGACTATGGTACAATTATGTTCCCTGACTAAAGGTACTGAGATGTACCCTTAAGAGAACTATCCCAGTGACAAGAGGGGAACTGCCCCAGTGACAATTTGATATTTCTGACAGTGCCGTTTCAGCCTGAAGTTAAGCTGCTTGTGTGCAGTTTTATTGACTCTCTTCATAAAACTACAGTTATTTTCACTACTGCCATGCTGAAATTTTGTTTATTGCTGAGGTACATTAAGTCTGACGCATCATTTACAAGCAATACACACCGCTGATGCAAATGAGATCAGCAATATCGGTAACATTATTAGCAGAAGACGTCTTCAGCAGACTGAATAGTGCTGTGGATCAATCAACCAGCAGCAAACTAAAAACTTCAGAATACAGAGAAGTATCATAGGAGATGTAACATAACTGTATGAGAGGTTAAAGTCATGAAGGAGTTGTAAATAATGACTGTTGGTGATTAATATCACAAATTGCATTTACATAATTTTCACGTTCATCCTCTTTTCACATGATCTTCATGTTCAGGTTTTTGCACTTCTTTTGACCACTCATATAGCTATAACACAACATACGGCTTTTTAAATGGAAAATGGAATGTCTTTACTGTCAAAGCTGAGCAAATAAAACAAATGCATTTAATTACAATTAATTACAAAAAAATCATGTTATTAATTACAATTAATTGTTGAAATCATTTGACACCCCTAATATCAATATTACAGATTTCATCATGTTATAAAGTGTAATATTTGATACATGTAAACTTCAGAATTGCTAGTCCCAACTACAAATAATGACGCCTGATTTATTCCACAGTCTGAAATGTTTAATTGTTCATCATGTATAACTGCTACATGTGTGTTTATTTGGTCTGTCAGGCTGAAAACACTGACACCTTGAACTACGCAGCTCTAAGCTTTGCTCAGTCTTCCTCCTCAAGAAGAAGCAGAACAAAGAACAGCAGTGATCAGCCTGTGTACGCACAGGTAAAGACCCATCAGTAGAAACAACATCAGAGACAATCAAACCTGGAGACCTACTGTCATCATAACTACTCTGTAAGCAGTGTTCATTTCACACAGACTCATGTAGAATGTCATAATTACGGTAAATCACCGTACCTCTGTGTGAATGTAACACAGCATTTTGTTTTTCTTCACATAGCTGAAAATACTTTGTCCATTTAATTTTATTGTATTTTTTTTTCTTATTATGAATAAATATTTGTATTTGTATCTATATTGGTAATTAAATATTAACATTTGCTGACTTCACAAACATGTTTCTATGTGGTGGCGTACATTTATTCATTCTTTTTTTCCATAAACCATGGCTCAGTATTATGCCTTTTAGCTTTTTGGCTTTAACTATTAATAATGACCACTGGGCCAAATTGTCCACTAAATCAAACTAAAGTATGGATCATTCCACATCAAATCACCTAGGCTCTGTCCAGTTACATAATGGATTTACATTAAAAATGGAATTTCACCTTTCCTGGTTCTAAAAATCATAAATATTGAGTTTAGCTGATACAGAATGACTGAACTGAGTTGCATTTTAATCTGTTTAGAAATACAACAGTAAATAATATATTAATTTAACAAATACCCACAACAGTTTATTCTTTTTTATGTGATTTTTCTATTGTGCTTCTCAGCCAAGTTTCATATCCTTAAGTAATGATTAAACCAAGAAGGAGTTTTATCACATAGAAATGTAGGAATGCTACATAAAAACTAATTTTTTGCAAATTTTTTTTTTTTAAATTTTCAGATGACATTTTGCATGATCTGACCAAAAACGAGCATTCTCCAAGAACTGAACCTGCTGCAGATATTTATAAACAGGAATCCAGTTGATTTAAAGGCAAATATTATTATTTTTGTTGCATTTGTACATAATGAATACAAAACCTGTTTCTGGTAAAGTTGGGACATTTTTTTTGTGAATTGCCATAAAATCTTTGATTTGTTCATTCTCTTATCTTTATTTAACTGACAATAGTACAAAGAAATGACTTTTGATGCTTTGGCTGACTAACTTGACAGTATTTACTTGAGTGTTAATATAAACAAATTTTAAATTTGATGCCTACAGCACACTCATTAAAAGTCGGGGCCAAATAAGAGTGAAAAGTTCATAGAATAGTCAAGTTACACCATGTTGAAACATTACACAGTAAGCAGGTGAATTAGCAACAGGTGAGGGTATCATGATTGGGTATAAGAAAAGCATCCACCAAAGGCTCAGTCTTTACAAGCAAAGAATTTAGGTCTTTCACCATCTACCAAACATAATATTGTGAAAAGGTTTGAGTGTGTCTGGAGAAAAGCCAGAAACCACTGCTGTATTTGCATGACCTTGGTCCTCAGATGGCATTGCATGAGAAACTGCCATGCTACTCTGTTAAATGTAGCCACATGGGCTCAAGAGTACTTTGGAAAACTGTTGTCACTTGACACAGTCCACTGCTGCATCAAGAAATGCAACTTGAAACGCTATTATGTAAAAAGCCATACATCAAATCTATGTAGAAACACTGCCGAGTTCTCTGGGCCCAAGCTCATCTCGGATGGTCTGAAAGACAGTGGAAATGTGTGCTGTGGTCAGATGAGTCCATGTTTCAGCTTTTCAGTTTTTGGGAAATATGGACAGAGAGTTCTCTATGCCAAAAATGAATGGGACCATCCAGACTTTATCATCATGGTATGGTGGTGCATCAGAGCCCACAGCATGGGTGGCGTGCATATGTGTGAAGGTACCATTGACACAGAGGTGTATATTGAGATTTTAGAGAGACATTTCCTGCCACCAAGATGACGTCTTTTACTGTGACTCTCATTGTTATTTTAGCAAGACAATACCAGGCCTCATTCTGCATGTGCTACAACAGTGTAGACACAGAGTGCATATGCTTGACTGGCCTGTCTGCAGTCCAGATCTGTCTTTTATTGAAATGTATGGCGAATCATGAAGAGTAGAATCAGACAATAATGACTGTTGAGGAGCTGAAATCTTGTATCAAGCAACAATGGGCAAAAGTTTCACTTGCAAAACTGCAATAATTAGCATCCTCAGTTTCCAGACTGTGTCCTAATGCACAGGTCACAAGAGGTCACTGAATGGTTTGATGAGTAAGAAAATGATGCATATCATATGCTATGGCCTTCACTGTCACTAGATCTCAACCTGTTTAAACCTGGAAGATTTTTGACATCTTAGACAGTGCTCTACACCACCAACATAAAAACACCAACTGAGGGAAAACCTTTTAGAAGAACAGTGCTCCATCCCCCAGTACAGCTCCAGAGACTTGTAAAATCTCTACCAGGTGTAGTGAAGCTGTTTATGGTGGCCTAGTGTCTTAATAAGACACAATAAGCTGTTGTTTTTATACTTATGACATAGGTGTACTTGTTTATTAAACATTTACATATTAGGTAAATTGAGTGTATGAAAGACATTGACGGTGATTGCAGTTTATTTGTAATGAGTGTATTGTGTAGAGTGGTGGTCACCAACAGTAACGTGTAAGCACGTATTTTTTTTGTGAGTGTGTTTGTGTCTCTCTTTCTCTGTCTCTCCCTTCACAGGGGGACCTGCTCTAGTCTGTCATGTGAGGACATCTAACCAATCAGAGGCCAGGCTGGTGCCGTTGGGGGGAGGAGCCTATATTTTAAAATGAGGGCTTCAAGATGGCTGGAGAGAGAGAGGACTGATCACATATGTGCTGTTTTAGTTCTCTTGTGTTGGGAGTGTGCTTTGTCTTAGGTATTTTACCAGTGCTTCTTTTAACTTAGTTTGCAAGACTTTGTCTTTTATGTTAGGGGGAGTACGTTAGTGGTGGTATTTTACCTGCACACTTAACTTTGTTTTACAAGAGATTGTTTGTACCACCTGGGGTTTCAAACAGGTAAGAGGGGCATGCCTATGCATTCGCACCACGTAGATGTCTACTCTGTCTACTTGTACTTTTGATTACTGGCTAGGGAAGTTTAGAGTAGTTAGCTTTTGTTTCCTTTTTTTTTAGATTAGCTAAATACTTTCTGTTTCAGAGTGGGCTAGCGTGGTTAGGTTTTGTTTTGTTCTTTTCTTTGGTGCCGTCCACAGTTTGATTCTTCCAGTGTGGTACTTGGTATCATAGCACACCAGTTTTATTGTGGTTTGTTTTAATAAAGTGGCTTCAAAAGCTCTACTGGTCTGCTCCTCAAACTTTTAATCCATCACCACCAGTTCAATATTTTAATGCCACATGTTACTGATCCCCCGGCACCCTAGACAAAATGTGGAGTCGTAACACCAACCCTCCTCCTAGAGATACCTATACAAAATAGTCTAATACAAGAGAAGTTTTGTTCACACATTTGGGAATACAAGCCTTTTGAGTAAAATTAAAAGGAATGCAATGGCTGAGTGATACCATTAGTGTCAATGTATTTTCTGTGTATTGGACAGGATGCCCCAGGCCCCTGAAGGAACATTGATCTGTAACATTCACTTCCCATATCATGAAAATCTTTGTGACACTGGTTAATAAACAGATTTAGTCCTTAATGAAGACCTTTAATCATGCACCACCAGGTTGAAGTTAGCATTTTTTTCAAAAGTATTGATTTCACAGTCATTTACAGTCATTTCTTTAGGCCTGTAGATAAAGTGATTTGAAAAGCATATACTAGTGTTCAAAAGTTTGGGATCACTGTTTTCCATAAAATATTGAAAATAAATATCTTTTATGATTCTACTTCTCTACAACACATTTCAACTAATTTGTGATTAGCTGTGAAAGAAGAAGCAAAGATGAACAGAACAACTGATGATACCACAACTGAGAAAGTTGTATAACATTAAGAATGAAGTTCTAATAAAATTAACGCCTATTGTCGTATTTTAAAATGTGATCAAATCTCAGGTAGATAACTTATCAAGAGATTCCTGTAAATAGTTAAATAGAGTTTATTATGTATTATTCAATGACTTTTTGATGCCCCCCCAAAAGCTTTCAGTCTACATTATATTAATTTAAGTAAAATAGAATAACAGCAACTAAAATGGCAACTGATTCCTAATTTAAAACACCAGTGTATTATGTAATCTTAACATTAAAATTAATATATCAATTAAACATTATATTTATTATGTTTTTCCTAAAGAGTATTATTTTTACATCACATTTATGTGATTAAATTATTAGCATTTTATAGACAAACGTGTTTAGGATCCAGTGATTCTTGTATTAGCAGCATCAAACATCATATCCATGAGTGTGATTTTATCTGTGCAGAAAACACAGCAATCATCATAAATGTAAGGTTTAACGTAAGTTGTTTGTATGCTGTTTAATAATGTAATATGTTCGTGATTTATTTGTTGAAGATGCTGCGGGTCACACAGTCAAAGTGCACCAGGTGATTATTTTACTTTCTTCTAACTGTTCTGATGAGCTCAAGCTATAATCTCACACTTTGCTCGGCTATATTTAGCACTATAGCATATTAAACAGAGTCTCTGTCTACAGGCTGCATGTGATGAAGCTTTCAACTTGGCAGCAGGAAGTTTCAACAATGAACCGCAGCAGATTAAAGAGGTGGATGTGCACTCTCTGGTCATCTATTACCAACAAAACTGAGCTTTCTTAAGCTCACAAAACTCTCCTTTTTGTTGCCAATGCAGTGTTTCCTGATTGAGGCCTTACAGTTTTCCTAACTGTGCTGTTTTTCTATTTCTATTACAATCAGACTTGACAATTACAAGTGAATCTTTAATCAAAATTCAGGTAACTTCACATAGAAAGGCAAAATCTAAGAAGAAGGGAATTTACACAAGAACAGAATTTTACAGCAACCACAGTCAAGAACGTACAAACTTACGGCAAACAAGAGAGTAACATGCTCATATACTGATCACAACACAACAAGACAGAGGCGCAGATTATGATTAACAACTAGGGACGAGAATAGGATGACCAGCGCTGAGTAACAACAAGCAGTGTTGGCATGGCATTTTTGCTTTTATAATTTAGGTTTTAGTTTAGTGTTCATTTAGTTTCCACATTCTCAGTACTTAACAACATTCAGTACTTTATTGATTAGACCTTTAGTAGTACAGCACAGTATCATATTTGGCCTTTATGGTAATAAAGTGAGTAAACAGTGAAGTAAATATATATTTATATGTATAAACACAGAGTAAGAGTACTGTAATAAGCTTTGATTACACTCTTTGAGTAATTTGAGGGATTATATTACTGATTACATTTTTTGTCATGTTATTTGTAATCAGTAGTGCATTACACTTCTTAAGCAATGCACACAACAAAACTGCCATTGACAGCATGAAGTTAAAGCAGGAACGTTCCATAAAGAAGCAGAGAATCTGAAATGCTGTAGGCTCTCGTGTGTGAACCTCCCTGATTACTCTCAACATCAAAATAAAATTGTTGATCAGCTGATGACTTTTGTGCATTTCATTTCATTTTTTTTTACTTTCATGAGTTTCAATAGGCCTCAAGGGGTGTTCTAAAACTGACATTTTTATGAGAACATCACTATAACATACACAACTGAATTTAATTTCAAGGCAATTTGCTTTGTAATCTGACTGATTACAAACCCGTGACAAGCACATGTGCCCCAGCTGTGTGTTGTATATGTATACACAAATGCATGTAGGCACATAGATGAATATTTGCTGATGGAAAAAAAATAAAATAAAAAATTACACCTTCAGATCATAAAGAACAAAAAGAAACAAATAAATAGCAAAAGGGAAAAAATGCTCTCCCTTTTGTTGCTAATGAACATTATCATGGATGTGGTTAGTGCTGTGTTACTGGCTGTGCTTTCTCACGTGGTTGCACTTTGTCTAAACTTGGTACCAGGCCTCAAGTCTGTCTTATTAACTAATTATTCTTCAATATTTAAATAATTAATATCACAATCTCTAATTTCTAACAAAATAAAGTGATGTTATTGACTTAGTTATAGATTTTCCAATCACTGTGAATTCTTTTATAGGCAACATTGGCAGCAACCAGTATTTGAATGACATCAAGACAGACAACACAGTGAAAATTAATGAAACATTTAGTGCTTTATTAACTGCTGTGTAACACACATGAAATCATCAGCAGTCAGTGTATTTACTGTGAACGTAAGTTAAATTACTGTGTGTGTGAATGAGAGAGAGACAGAATGGAAGAGTAAGTCAGTACGTGTGCATGTGTGTTTGTGTGAGTGTATGAGAGGGGGAGGAGTGTTGCTATCTTTGTTATAGTGAATTTCCAGTGAACAAAGGACAATGGTGCTAAGTATAAATGAAAAAAGCGGTAATGCTGAAAGTGAAACTCAGGTCTAATAATGGAGCATTAAAAACTGCTGTGGAAACCACCACTCATTGACCTTAGACCCTAAAAGTTTAACCTCATTCTAGGCCAGGCAAGACAAGTTTATTTATATCGCACCTTTCATTCACTGCTGTCATTCAAAGTGCTTTACAAATGCTCTCTGTCAACTGGTTCTGTTAAGAGCAGCATAGTAGCTAAACGCTGCTCCTCCATGTTTAGTCTTCATTCAGCAGGACTAACTGATTAGTTCCTAATGATCTGAGAGTTCTGCTCGGCTCATATCGTTGCAACATATGAAATAAATATGCTAGTTTGGCACCATTGAGCAATTTATAGACCAGTAATAGTATCTTATAGTCTATTCTGTTACAGACTGGTAGCCAGTGTAAGGATTTAAGAATGGAGGTGATGTGTTCTCTTCTTTTACTCCTAGTGAGACTCTGGCAGCTGCATTTTGAATCAGCTGAAGCTGTTTGATAGTCTTTTTGGGAGTCCAGTTAGGAGATCATTACCATAGTCAGTCCTGCTAGAGTGCTTGTTTGCCAGGTTTATCAGGTACCAGAAGCTACCAGAAGGGTTGGAAGTAGAATTTTTTTGTTTTGTTTTGTTTTGTAATGGAAGCAGCCATGCATCACCCTGGTCAAGAAAGCTTGTACTGCGTATCATTATTATCATATGCTGGTGAGTGACAAAAGAGGGGCACATGAGGGGCCAATCGGATTTTTACCAGGACTAGTGACCCTGTTGCCCCACCCACCCTTGAACACACCTCTCTGTGTTTGAGGGCCTGTGAAACCAAACAACACCCAAGGGGAGGATGTGGAGATACAAGATGTAGAGATGCTTTGAACAGGAAAGGCCAGTGCAGGGTTTCCTTTTACAGAGGCTCAGGTCTTTCAATGTGTGGCCACACTACTGGAGTTATTCTGTCAGTCTGTCATTGCCAACAGTCTTTTTTTATGTGATGGTATGCTGAGGGAGCAGTTTCATGGCAGGGAAAGCTGAGTAACTCAATAAACTGATCTGAAAAGCCAGCACTATTACAGGACTGACTCTGGACTCACTGGAAGCAGTGAAAGAGAAGAAGATGACGGCAAAATTGGAGAACAATGTGAACAATTCTGCCCGTACTCTTCATAGTGAGATATGCTGGAGCACCAGTGAAACACCAGCTTATTCCACCAAGGAGCTTTAGGAGGTACTTTTGGGGATCTTTTGACTACCATCACTCCACACAATGCAGCGTGATACCTCATCACCAGTCTCTCAGAACAAACATAAAAAAGACATATACCACACACATATATTGATGCCTTTCACACATATGTTGATGCTTTTTACACATATGTTGATGTTCTTTCACATGAAGTACATCACAGTCTGCAAAGTAATTGATGTTGTTTTTGCACTTTGTCTTATTTACGTACTAATGTCTTTTATGAACTAATATCTTTGCACTGTGTGTATATGTAAATATGTGTACATTACCTTTCAGAGTAGAAACACTGTGAGTGGTCTTCAGCAGTATTTCTTCAGTACATTTCGGTATGTTTAATTAATATACAAAGTTGTGGTATATTCCATTGCTGTCTTAAGATCAGACTTTTTGTTTTGTTTTTCTATTTAAAAAAAATGTACAAATATGTCTCTTTCATCAGTGTTATACCTTATAGGCCTAAAATTAATGTAAATAGTTTGCTTTTTTCCTACAGTGTCTATCCGTTCATCTGTCCATCCGTCCATCTGTCATTGTGAAACCACTACAATAATTAATTGATATATTTGAAGACACTTGTGACAGAAACTTGTATTTCAAATCTTTTTTTTTCTTTGGTTAAGCCAGGTTTGTAATTCCGCAGTAGTGATTTGCTCATTATGTTCTATATTTAACCTGTTGATGTGAGTGGTTGGGGCTCATTCCAATTTCCTGTTAAAGCAGCCAATCAGCTTTCAGCACAGAATTATAAAAATGTTCTTGCAGAAGGTTTAAGTGCAGAGTGACAGAGTAGACTTTTAAGTACAGAGTGAAGTTTTAAGTACAGAGTGATGCACACATATTACCTACATCTCAAAAGATTCTGACCATCAAAAAATGTAAGTGTAAACCACATAGATTAAGCTTTGTACAGTAATGTGTGTGTGTGTGTATGTATATAACAAATTATAATAATATGTAATTTTATATTGTCTTTCAGGAGATACGTTACTTGAAGAGATTTGCAATGAATCCATTTTATGTAACTGTTTTGCTCTCATCAGTATTAGGTATTTTAAGTATTTTCTTTAAGCAATTGCTCGTTCAGTGTTGTTTTTTTTCTTTCAACATTGATGTTCATTTTGTGTACTTTATGGTAAAAGCACATGGATTTCAGTAGTGTCTGATGTACAACTTCAAGTGAAATTAAAATAAGTTTTAAAAGAGTTTCACTTTTGTTTGTCTTCTTTCAGGTAGCCCTTCAAAGATTGACATTCCCTGTTTAGGTGGGATGAGGTTCATTCAGAGCGGGCAAAGCATCACTCTGAATTGTCCTTCACTCATTTTTAATGCAATAACAACTACATGGTTCAAACAGACTCCAGAAGAAAAGCTTCTTCTCATTGCTTCTGCTGTTCGTTCAACTACAGTTAAATATCACAATGATTTTGACCAGAGTGGCCGCTTTATTGCATCGAGGGAGCAAAGCAGTTTTACTCTGAGTATCTCAAATGCAGAACCATCTGATTCAGCTACATACTACTGTGCAGTTGCAGATTATTCAGACACTACATTATTAGACTGCACAGTTTTAGTCCTTAAAGGTAGGTGTTAGTCTATTACAGTCTACTACAAATCCTTCTACATTGTAAACCTGAAATCTACATCTGCATCTCAATTACAATTCACCTTTTTTCTCTCTTTAGGTTCATCTTCAAGTCTCTCTGCTGTTCTCCAGCCTCCTGTATCAGATCCTGTTGAACTGGGAGGAGATACAACTTTGCAGTGTTCAATACTCACAGATACGTCTGCAGGAGAACACAGTGTGTACTGGTTCAGACATGGATCAGGAGAATCTCATCCAGGAATCATTTACACTCATGGAAACAGGAGTGATGAGTGTAAGAAAAGCTCTGAGACTGATTCTCCTACACAGAGCTGTGTCTACAAACTCCCCAAGAGAAACTTCCTGCTATGGCAGCCAATCAGCTGTCAGGACAGAGTTGTTAAGCTGCTCTTGTAGAAGTTTTAAGCACAGAGTGATACATACATCTCAAAATATGACTGGATGACTACTGTCCTACAAAAACTGTAAGTAACTATATATATATATATATATATATATATATATATATATATATATATATATATATATATATATATATATGTGTGATCTAATAATAATACTGTTTTTTATCTTTTTGGTCAGGAGAAACATTACTTGGAGAGTTTGGCAATGATTGGATTTTATATAACAGTTTTGCTCTCAACAGCATTAGGTACTGTTTAAGCTTTTTTTCCTTTGTTTTTCAATGTTAATGAAGTTCCTTTTTCTGTTCCTTACTTAGAAAGTGTGCACATAGATTGCTGTCTAATATACAGCATTTAGATTATATAGTAACAGAGTTTTACTTTTTTCTGTTTTTTTAAAGGTGGCAGTATAGACATTTCCTGTATAGATGGGATGAAGATCATTCAGGACAAAGAAAATATTCGTTTGACTTGTTCTTTCCTACATCCTTATGTGTCAGCAGCTGCATGGTTCAAACATACTCCGGGAGAAAAAGCTCTTCTTATTGCTTCAGCTTTTAGTTCTACTCCACAATATCACAATGATTTTGACAAGAGTGGCCGCTTTATTGCTTTGAGAGAGCAAAGCAGTTTTAATCTGAGTATCTCAAATGCAGAACCATCTGATTCAGCTACATACTACTGTGCAGTTGCAGATTATTCAGACACTGCATTATTAGACTGCACAGTTTTAGTCCTCAAAGGTAGGTGCTAGTCTACTACAGTCTACTACAAATCCTTCTACATTGTAAACCTGAAATCTACATCTGCATCTCAATCAAAATTAAAAAAAAAAAAATCTCTCTTTAGGTTCATCTTCAAGTCTCTCTGCTGTTCTCCAGCCTCCTGTATCAGATCCTGTTGAACTGGGAGGAGATACAACTTTGCAGTGTTCAATACTCACAGATACGTCTGCAGGAGAACACAGTGTGTACTGGTTCAGACATGGATCAGGAGAATCTCATCCAGGAATCATTTACACTCATGGAAACAGGAGTGATGAGTGTAAGAAAAGCTCTGAGACTGATTCTCCTACACAGAGCTGTGTCTACAAACTCCCCAAGAGAAACCTCAGCCTCTCTGATGCTGGAACTTACTACTGTGCTGTGCTCATGTGTGGAGAGATCATCTTTGGGAACGGAACTAAACTGGACTTTGTAGGTGAGAACGAATATTTAGAATCCTTTATAACATCAAGCCCTAATTATGTTCCATACTTTTATTAAAATAATATTCTATGTATGAAAGATGCCATTATGACACTACAACTATGATACTAAAATTTTACAGAGGTCAACTTATAAGTACGAGGCTGTGAAAAGCAGTGTTAAATGTTAAATTTCTAGTTTTTACTAAAAACTAAATTAATAACTGTAGAGGAGAATAGTTGTATAGTTGCTAATAGAATGGAAATGGAATGGCAACAAACATTTTTTTTTTAATTATTACTTTATTTACTTCATAGGGACAGGTCTTCCAGCTCTAACAGCAAAATATTTGGCTAATCACAATATCATCCCTTTTATTTTATATTGTTTTATGATATTAGAGTTATTACCACAAAACCCGTGAAGTAGTTCTGCTAAAATTACATTGTATTAGTGCTGTAAAATATTAATTATTTTTTTCTTACCTATTATGTATGTAAAATGCAAACTTCTTTTCATCTTGTTTCTCAGGTATTGCTTCTCACGTTGTTATGATTTGTTATAAATTATAGCATGTTGCAAATTAGTTATAAAGCACAGATCTGGCAGAAGACACTGAAATTTCAGTGATGGAAAAACTTGACACCAAATGTAAACATATACATATTTATATATTTTATCTCAACTTTTAATCTATTAATAACTAAAATTAGTTTTTTATCAGTTTTTAACATTTTTATTACTTGTTTGTTACTGTTACAATTACTAACTTATTATGAAGTTACAATCTAAAAATTAACATGTTTTTGTTTAATATAACTTGTTACCATAGTATTACCATATTATTACTCACTTATTACCAATCTGTAAAATAAAGTACTACCCAGATAACTTATTAAGAAATTACTATAAACAGATACATGCAGCGTTTCATCATGATACATTACATGTATCTATTTATAGTAATTTCTTGATATTTAATAACTTTCTGAATAACTTTTTGATGTTTTCACAAAAACCTTCAAATACTGAATGAAACATCTTGAGATGCTTTCTGATGTTTAGCTTATAATATTTCAATACACACAGTTTAAAGTAAAATCAAATCACATAACAGAAATATTTAAAATGACAAGTGATTCTTAGTGTTTGAATGCTATATTTATGTTATTATGATTTATTTTTTCTTCAACAACCGCCATTTTGTATGTAGTATTATTTTATTTCTCATTAATTGATGATCTTGGTTAAACTACTAAAATTAGACATTTCTAATTTCAATTTATTTATTTTTTTGTAATAATAGAGAAAGGTGTTTTGGAGCCAGTCACTCTGGTTTTAGCAGCATCAAACATCATATCCATTGTCATGGTTGTATATCTGTACAGAAAATCACACAGTCATCATGAAGGTAGGCTTTACCTTTGAAACCAATATAATAAGTTTTAATTGTTAATGAATGTACTTTTGCAAGCTGTTCAATAAAGTATTATATTTGAATGATTTTTATTATTTGGTTATTTGTTGAAGGTGCTGCTGAGGGCCACTTAATTAAAGCACACCAGGTGATTATTTCAGTTTCTAATAACCTTTCTGCTAAACTCAAACTATAATCTTGCATTTTGTTCAGCTCGTTAGCAGTAAAACCTGTTAAATGCAGTTTATTAAAGAGAGTCTCTTTCTGCAGGCCACATGTGATGAAGCTTTGAACTTTGCAGCAGGAAGTTTCAACAATGAACCACAGCAGATTAAAGAGTTTGATGTACACTCTCTGGTCATTTACTACCAACAAAACTGATCTTTTTTTCTAAAGCTTACTGAACTCTCTATCCTTTGTTTACTTATTGAGGCCTAAGAAGCTTTCTAATAATGCCATATCTTTCCATTTACATTGATCATTAATATTTTTATGTATTGTTAAAACTGGTCATTAATAAAACAAGATGCAAAAAACAACTGAGTGTGATCAAATGGGACTGCATTCCAAGAGAACCGCTAAAACCTGTGAATGCTTTAACACTAACCACCTGCAAGCTGATTTACCTCTGCTTCTACTTCTACTTTTATCTGTGGGCAAACAGGGCTGGTAGGCTACAAGTGCTAGTAGGCTGTACTAAAAAGCACTGTCAACACTGGTAGTTAGATTCATATTCAGACATAGCCAAAAGTGAAGCTATAATCAAAATCTAGATAACCTCACAAAGTTACTCTCAATATAAAGAAAAACTAATGTCCAAATGAAAGCAGAGTTTTAATAGGACTTGCTTGGTGGGGGTGGGGGAGGGTGTGTGGGGATAGAATCCAAGTGACAAACTGAAGATGTTCTATTCTGAGAATGGCAATAAAAATATGCAGACAAATAAAAGTTGGAATTTAATCCTTTAAATGGCCAGGGCCCACCAGCAGGCCCAACGATTTATTACACATAACCTAAGAATAGCTCAACCAGTTTGCATTAAAGTCCTTGTAGTTACTAATTAATAAGCCTTAGTATGTAGTAAACCATAAGCCTGGGATTTTAAGGAGTTCATTCTAAGGATTGCACACTTACGTGACATTATCTGACATCTACTTTGCTATTCGTGCCTTTTTTGTGTTGTAACCTGTCTGGTTACAAAGACATGATTAATATTTTGACACTGTCTGAAAAAAATAAAAAACACAGCAGTCATTTACACTGTTTGAACATTTTATGTTGAATGGTCCAAGAGAAATTGTCCAAAATGACATCAAAAGTCAAGTTATTTATTTATTTATTTATTTATTTCCGTATTTTTTCAGTATTTTTTTATAAATGTTAATTCTTTCTGTTGATATTGGTAGCCACCAGTACTTGATTGATGTCAAGACACAGAACAGTGAAAATAAATGAAATGTATTTTTTACACAAAACCTTCAACAGTCAGTATATTTATATGGCCTAACAATGAAGCTATGTGTGTCAAAAAAGATCAATCAGCTGCAAATAAATAAAAAAAAATTTGCTGCATACATTTAAGTTTAGTACCAAGCGTTTCAGTTCATTCCTGTCAATTAATTGCTGAAATAGGGAGGAAATTCCACTACTGTTCCTCAGTGAATTAAACTAAACAAGTCATCCAGAATCCCTGGGAATCATCTTTCTGGCTGTTAAATACATGAATGAAAATGTTTGTTGATAGTTCCAAAGGAGGGAGGCAGATTAAGGGAGATGATTACCTCACTCTTTCAGGCCATGCGATGGCCTACCTGCACGTTCTGATTAAGAGTTCAATTGATCAATCTATTGCCATGTGAAATGTTAATAAGACTAGAGCAGTGGTCCTTAAACCAGTCCTCACAGAGCCCAGACGGTCACCATTTTTCCTTTATCCCTTTAATTTTGTCTCACCTCTCATGCAGAACACTCAAATTAGGCCTCCCTTAACATGTCTGCCTATAGCAGCCAGACCGAGAGAGAAGTTTCATTGAGGGGTAGCTTTTAGCATTTTGATCACATAGTTACTGGGGACTTCCTCCTTCCTGTTTTTGCATATTTTCCTCAAATCGTAGCTCCTCTCTCTGAGGACACAAGGAAGAAATGCAAGGATTTGGTAACACTTTAGTATAGGAGCACATTATAATGCCCTTGTAATGTGCATATTAAGCCTAAATGAGACAGTAATTAGTAATTAAAAGGTTGCTTATTACCACAGTTTTAATAACTAGGGTGAAGTAAGCATTTTCCAGAGCACACTTCTTTGAGTGTCATTATAGTGTTGTAGTACTCACATATTAACACCACAAATTAATAGCCTCATTCTTTTCTCTGTTTTGGTCTCAGGCTTGGACCTTTTCTTCAAATCTTTCTTTTTTTTTCTTTTTTTTTTCTTCTTTTTTTTGAGAATACAGCTATGTAAAGTGTAACACATTTTAATCCAGAAGTAGTAACTTATACACCAAATAAAACACAAATAAAAATGATGTGGAAAATGCCTAATTCATTCGAGTTACTCTAGTTTTATTACTTTGTATTTACTGTGTATCTATGTTTATGTTAATATATTCTTATAACAAGTAACCTTATAAATACAAGACCAATACTTTTGGAATGGAAGCAACCGTCCTTGTCAAGTAATTTTGCATTGCATATAATTGTTATTAAATAAACTGATACAATGTTCTTGCCTCTTTCAATTTTCACCCAGTTCCAATTTGTTGGACAGGGTGGTGAGCAACACTGGAGTACATCAGAGAGCTTTCATGTCCCCATTTCTATTCACCCTCTACACACCAGACTTCCAGGACAAAACTAGCTCATGACACTCACAGAAGCTGTTGGGAAAGTTTGTGTTTCCCAGTCTAGGATGTATCCATAATGGAGATAAGTCAGAATTCAGGAGGCTGGTGGAGGACTTTGTCTTCTGCAGGGAAAATTGTATTTTGCTTAACAACACCATCACCTGGTGGTGAATTTGCATTGTGTTAGAGCAGCGGCAGTTTTAGGATTTTTTAGGTGGGGCCACAATGGGCCATTATTCCTGTTCAGGGGCCAAGTAAATGCCTTCAAATTCAAATAATTATATTCTTATATATATATATATATATATATATATATATATATATATATATATATATATATATATGAATGATATATATATATGAATGTTGTACTATGTACTATGAACATAGCACCAACCACACATATGGATTTAATTGCATTTAATAGCAGACCTGGTTAAATATTTCATCACAAGGCTAATCCTTTTACCATTATGCCATTCAAACATGTAAACTCATGAATAGTGAAGTTCGGAAACCAAACTAACTGTAGAGGGGTTAAGTGGTTTAATCCTCTAGGACACAATTTTGGTAATTTAACATAAAAAAAAAAGCATTCTGAGAATAAAATACTGGAAAACAAGCAAATGGTGTAGAAAGATTCTGTTCACAGAGTTCAACAACTTTACAATTTAAAGTCATTCAAAAATTGTTACTGCTTTTCAGGTATTTTACTTATTTTACTTGTTAAAACATACTGCTTACCAGTGTCAAAAGGTCAAAGTGTATGGCATTTGTAATACAGCTCCTTTTGAACCCTCATCTTCAGTGCTTCTTCTAACAAAGTCCATCCTAAAAACTCTGCCCACCATTTGTGTTCTATGTACTAGAATGTCTATACTGTGTTGATTAGGTGCTTGGACCCCGATGATCACTAATGGCAATGTAATGTGTAGATGTAGTGGTAATGGAAGTCTGCAGAAATTGATGAGTTGTACATCGATTTTGAAGTGGCAGCTGATTGTCTGAATGTCAAACAGCAATAATTTACACATTGTGACCTTTTTGTAGCCACGGGCTAAAAGCTATTTAAGACAGTAAAAAACAAATTACATGTGAAAATTTTCATATCCCTAGACCTCTCAACTTTCTTAATGTTTATAATGTAAAAATAAAATACTCTATCTGTGTACAAGATCACAATCTGTTGTTAGGGAAGAGAGATTCTTCTTAAGAATCGTCCTTGTCAACAGCAGGGACAAAACATGTGGGGCCAATCAGATTGTGACTAGTGCTACTGTGGCCCCGCTGAATACGCCCCTGTGTTTGAGGGCTTGTGAAACCCATCATCATCCAAAGAGAGGATGTGGAGATACAGGATGCAGAGATGTTTTGAGCAGAAAAGGCCAGAGCAGGGTCTTCTTTATGGAGGCTCAGGTCTTTCAATGTGTGACTAAGCTACCGGAGTTATTCTATCAGTCTGTCAAGGCCAACAGTCTTTTCAAAGTGGTGGTCTACTGAGGGAGAAGTTTCACTGCAGGGGAAGTGAATTATCTCAATTAACTGATCTGAAAAGGCAGAATTATTACAGGACTGACTGTGGACTCACTGGAGGCAGCAATAGCAAAGACAATGACAGCAAAACTGGAGAACATTTTGAACAATTCTGCTCATCCATTTCATTGTGTGACAGGCAGGGGCACCAATGAACCACCAGCTCATTCCACTAAGGTGCTCTAGGAGGCGCTTTTGGGGACCTTTTCTACTGAATGCCATCACACTACACAATGCAGCGTGCTACCTCATCACCACTGTCTAAAAACAACCACTTTTTTTCCATGCAAATAAAAAACATATCACAAACACACACACACACACACACACACACACACACACACACACACATCAACAATTTCTACACATATTTTGATGGTCATTTACATGAACTGAAATACACCATGACCTGCACAATGCTTGATATTGATTTTAGTCTTATCTATGTACTGATGTCTTTACACTGTACCATTATGCCATTCAAACATGTAAACTCATGAATAGTGCAGTTCAGAAACCAAACTAACTGTAGAGGGGTTAAGTGGTTTAATCCTCTAGAAGACAATTTTGGTAATTTAACATAAAAATAAAGCACTCTAAGAATAAAATACTGGAAAACAAGCAAATGGTGTAGAAAGATTCTGTTCACAGAGTTCAACAACTTTACAATACCAAGGTCAAAAGGTCAAAGTGTATGGCATTTGTAATACAGCTCCTATTGAACCCTCATCTTCAGTGCTTCTTCTAACAAAGTCCATCCTAAAACTCTGCCCACCATTTGTGCTCTATGTACTGGAATGTCTATACTGTGTGTGTATGTGCAAACATGTTTCGTACATTCTCAGCACAAAACTATCTGAGTGCAAGTGCTGCCACAGGTGTGGTATGTCTTCAGAACCTTTAGTTAGAGAACATAATTGTGCCATTTTCCACTGCAGTAAAATTTAAAATACATTGACTCTATACACTCCGTCTTGACAGCAGGCTTTTTATTTGTCTACTTGTACAAATATTTCCCTTTCTTATGTGAAAGTGATCTATCTATCTATCTATCTATCTATCTATCTATCTATCTATCTATCTATGATCTATAGATCTATCGATCTAAGTTGCTCACTCTAATTATTGCAAAGAAGTGTCTGGTGAGCCTTGACAGTATTTCATCATAGTAATGTGCTGCCCTCATGTACCCTCACTAGTACATTCCCATTACAGTTTATTGACGCCACAATAATGAAATGAAATGTGTGAAGAAAAAACCTGCACTCTTGAGATGTTTATTTTGGTGTGATTTTTTTATTAAACCAGGTTTGTAACTCAGTTGTACTGATTTGCATATTACATTCTATATTTATACCCAGTGATGTGAGTGGTTGGGGCCCAGTTCGACTTCCTGTTAGAGCAGCCAATCAGCTTTCAGCACAGAATTATAAAGCTGCTCTTGGAGAGGTTTTACGTACAGAGTGATGCCCACGCCTTACCTACATCTCAAAAGATTACTCCTGTCCTACAAACACTGTAAGTAACACATAATGTAAATTTCAAAGGAAATGACTATATAACTGAATACTAATACTATTCTTTTTTATATTTTTCTTCAGGAGAAACATTACATGAAGAGTTTGCCAATGATTCAATTGTATGTAATGGTTTTGCTCTCATCAGCAGTAGGTACTGTTTAAGTGTTGCTTTTTCTTTGCTTTTCAACATTAATGAAGTTAATTTGTGTACTATGTACTGAAAGCACATACTTTCTGTATTATTTAACATACGGCTTTTTAGTAAATTTAAAATAGTTTTAAAAGATTTTCACTGTTGTTTTTTCAGGTAGCCCCTCAAAGATTGACATTCCCTGTCTAGATGGGATGAAGTTCATTCAGAGAGGGCAAAGCATCACTCTGAATTGTCCTTCTCTCACTTTTAATGTAATAACAACTACATGGTTAAAACAGACTCCAGGAGAAAAGCTTCTTCTCATTGCTTCTGCTGTTCGTTCTACTACAGTTAAATACCACAATGATTTTGACCAGAGTGGCCGCTTTAATGCATCGAGGGAACAAAGCAGTTTTACTCTGAGTATCTCAAATGCAGAACCATCTGATTCAGCTACATACTACTGTGCAGTTGCAGATTATTCAGACACTGCATTATTAGACTGCACAGTTTTAGTCCTCAAAGGTAGGTGCTAGTCTACTACAGTCTACTACAAATCCTTCTACATTGTAAACCTGAAATCTACATCTGCATCTCAATCAAAATTAAAAAAAAAAATCTCTCTTTAGGTTCATCTTCAAGTCTCTCTGCTGTTCTCCAGCCTCCTGTATCAGATCCTGTTGAACTGGGAGGAGATACAACTTTGCAGTGTTCAATACTCACAGATACGTCTGCAGGAGAACACAGTGTGTACTGGTTCAGACATGGATCAGGAGAATCTCATCCAGGAATCATTTACACTCATGGAAACAGGAGTGATGAGTGTAAGAAAAGCTCTGAGACTGATTCTCCTACACAGAGCTGTGTCTACAAACTCCCCAAGAGAAACCTCAGCCTCTCTGATGCTGGAACTTACTACTGTGCTGTGCTCATGTGTGGAGAGATCATCTTTGGGAACGGAACTAAACTGGACTTTGTAGGTAAGATCAGATATTTACTTTCAGTCTCAAGATTTTCATAAAACTAAAACAAAAAGTTTTCATTACTTCTCTTTTTTGTCATGATGCTGGAATTACAGTCTTTTGAGACTAAAAGGTGAAATTGAATTATCATTAGCGTTGTACTTGTAGGTGTTGTTACTTGTAGTTTTTCATGCTCAGTGCCATTTATATTATTATTTTATTATTTTTATTATTTTATTTTTTTCGTTATGCAAAAACCTTGTAACTCCATTTTTGTGTTCTTTTTGGAACTTAACTGGAAAACACCAGTTACCCTTTTCATTGTCTTCATTGTCTCACAATAAGTGGATGAACAGAAATGATGAAATATTACTTGCTACAAAACCTCAGTACAGTTTTGGAGAAAGTTTTGTTCCAACACTGACAGTCATATCGCTGTTGTTGGAACAAAACCTCAAAATCTCCATTTTTGATGTTTTTTCAGTTTTTATCATAATTTGAAAATGCCTGTTACCCTTTACATTGTATGTAAATTTCATGATGAATGGACTAAAAGGAGTGACTTAAAATGACTTGGAAAAAAGTCTGGTTACATTGACTTACATTAAAAGTAAAGTATGTATGTTTTTTCCTTACCCTGTAAGTTATCATGTTGGAGATTCGAAGTTTTCTTATATTCTGATATATATATTTCTTATTATCTCATATATATTTATATGTTTACATATATATACAATTACATATATATGATTGTAATGATTATAATTTTCTTGATTACTATAGAGAAAGGTGTTGTGGACCCAACCCTCATTGGTTTAGCAGCATCAAACATCATATCCATGGTTGTGGTTTTATTTTTGTGCAGAAAATTATACTACAGTCATCATAAAAGTAGGTTTTACCTCTGAAACTGATATTATTATTACATATAATTTTTACTATTAATTACTTATCTTTGCAAGATGTATAAATGCAATACTGCATGTTTAAATAGTTTGCTTGTTATTTGTTGAAGGTGCTGCTGAAGGTCACACAGTCCAAGCAAACCAGGTGATTAATTCACTTTATTCTAATTTCTCCAAACTACAGGAACTTTTTCATTTACTTGCCACTTTTAATCGTCACATGTTTTTGTAAACAAGCATTACAAAAACTTAACAAACGTATAAGTTTAGGTCATATGCGGGTTCAGGACATGTTATTTGTGTTAATATTAAAAACTTTAATGAATATAAATTGTAATGTGTGATGGGATTTTAAAATTACTATTGCCTTTAATGTACATCAGTCATTTCACTTAAGAATATTGAAACCCGATATCAGATTTATTACACGTTCTGATGTGTTACACTGATCGCTATGTATAACTGCTTGTAAAAAAAAGTCTTAGATTATTTTAAGGTTATTCATCGAAAAACAAAAAGTCTTAGACTGTGCTATTCAAACTACAAATACTGAAACTACAAATACTGAAGACTGATTTATTCCACATTCTGAAATGTTTCATTGTTCATTGTGTATAACTGCTACATGTGTGTCTGTGTGGTCTGTCAGGCTGAAGACACTGACGTCTTGAACTATGCAGCTCTAAGCTTTGCTCAGTCTTCCTCCTCAAGAAGAAGCAGAACAAAGAACAGCAGTGATCAGCCTGTGTACGCACAGGTAAAGACCCATCAGTAGAAACAACATCAGAGTTACAATCAAACCTGGAAATCTACTGTCATCATAACTACTCTGTAAACTGTGCTCATTTCACAAATGTTACATAATGTCATGATTTATACAAGCAGTTATTTCCTCTAGCTTCACTTTACTGAAATTTCAATCTAATATAAATATATATTTTTTGTTTGTATCTATAGTAATGATAATAATAAAATTAGCTGATTTCAGAAGATGGCTCTGAATCAAGTGTGGTCAGGTTTGCATCAGGGTGCTTTCCTATTTAAGCTTTGTGACCGAATTGATGTGCTTTTGTTTTGTTTTGTTTTGTTTTGTTTTGTTTTGTTGTGTTTTGTTTTGTTAACTATGACATACACAAACTACAATATTGGTCATTCCATGTCAACTCACCTAGGGCCTGTCCAGTCATGTAATGGGTTTTCATTAATAAATTCAAGGTAAAAATTCACTACAACAATATAACAACAACTATTAACACTGTTTGATTTGAAGTATATTGACATGCATGAATTAAAACAGATGTTAAAACATTGCCATGAGGATT